ATCACTCCACCTCTATCAGATACTCTACATTACAATATTGTTAGTGTACGATGTATCTTGTACAAATGTTATTGTTGATACATAACCCCAATTATTTCAAACCTAAATTAGTATGAATATGGTTTATAGTTATGTATCTGACACATAATTCGTGTCTTGTTTGCTATGTATCAGAAGAAGGAGAAACGTATTTGTGAGTTCTGAAAAATCTGAGATTATTATAATTTGAAAAACTTTCGAATTGAAGAATGATGTATGGATAATAGTGAATGGAGTCAACATATTGGGATTAACGTAGAATGGAAGTTACAAAAACAATTACTCCTACTAACAAGTAGGAGGAGAGTATAATTAGGAATAATTATGAACACAATTAATGAACTCAAATGCGCTCACGAAATACATTTATGTTTATCTGCTCACCCTTGTGTTTAGGGTTCTGTAATGGGCTTTTCTTTGCTGCCATCCATCAAGACCTGTCCAATAAATTTAGGCCCAGAAATTAGGCCCCAAACCCAGATTTTGCAAGTTTTCATGAATATGGCCTATATTTCTGGTTTTCCTCTTCTTCTTTTTCTCACTCGTATTCAGTACTTCGCATTGAAGCTCGACTAAATCTGAATTTCACGTTGCACTGAAATGGTAGTTGTCGAGTATAGTGGTGAGTTGGTGACCTAATGGTGTCTGGACGGTGCTGTTTTGATATTTTTGAGTGTTGACATTTTGGTAAAATTCCACATTGGATACATCATATTACCCTTTAATTCGAGTATTGATATTTAGGGGTTGCATATTGGTCGGTTCGGTTTTGAAGTTTATCAGTCCGACTTATTAATTATTGATTTGTAGACATGTTAAATCGTTATAGGACCATTTAAATATTGACTTATCGATTTATTGGTTATTAATCGTTATCTGGTTCGGTTATCGTTTAACCGTTAAGATTGACACAAAAAATAATGATTGAAAGTTGATAGATTGCATCTTGCTCAAAAGCAACACTAACACATTATAGAATAATTAAAACTTGAGATTATCAGAAATAAAAATACAAAACTAAATCTTAAGTCAATGACTTTATATACTGAATGGTATAAACATAATTTATTAATTTACTATCGATTTATCAGTTAACCCGTTGAGAAAAAAACCTCAAACAAATAATCCAATATAAAGAAAAACCAAAACCATTATTTAAACCGTTTAATTAATAACCCATTACCCATAAATTAATTATTTAAAAAAAAAATCAAATTATCAATTTCGATCCAATTTTAAATAGACCTAATTAATACTTTGATAAGACATTATAGAATATTCAACTGGCCGTAGTTGTTGTAATCAACTGTGTTCTTACACTATTTTTCATATCAACGCATTACTCAAATGGGATGTAGGGACAAAGAAAGCACAATAAAATTTGGTTGCTAATTTTGACTTTTGGTTTGGTGGCATGACAAGAAAAAAAAAAAGCAATTTTGGAGTCTTTCTTGTGGGACCTCCACCATTCACGGCATAATTGATTTATTTACTATATACTCCCTCCGTCCTTTTTAGTTGTCCACTTTAGAAATGACACACAGATTAAGGCAACAATGATTAGCACAGTAAAGTTACAATTTTACCCTTATGACAACTTTTCACTTCAAAATTACAACCACTTATTTGAATTCAAGTGAAATAAATTTGAGGGAAACATACTCCCTCCGTCCCTTTTTAGTTGTCCACTTTAGAAATGGCACACAGATTAAGGCAACAATGATTAGCACAGTGAAGTTACAATTTTACCCTTATGACAACTTTTCACTTCAAAATTACAACCACTTATTTGAATTCAAGTGAAATAAATTTGAGGGAAACAACATACACTTTTACAATTTTCAAGAAGTGTAAATAAGGGTATAATAGGAAAAAATTTGTTGTCCTTTCTTGATTTGTCAAAATGGACAACTAAATAGGGACAACTAAAAAAGGAAATATGGACAAGTAAATAGGGACGGAGGGAGTACTAAAATGACTTTACATAGTTTAGCCAAAAACTTTATTCATATTATTTATACACACTTTGGCTTAATCATAATCACTTCTATTAGTTATTAAAATTAGTTACAACTTAGTGTTTTGACCAAACTTTTTGAAAGTGATATCAACAATCGGAAGTATAATATTTTAGTTCACCCACTGCCATACATTATTTATAGATAGTGCTCCTTTTTATTATATTAATTAAATGATATATATTATTTCAATTAAATTTTTCATAGACATTAACATTATATACGAGTCTTGGCATCAATCGATAGGTTGATGATTTGGATTACGTTGAATGGTAAGTGGAAATATTATTGATCCTCTTGATAAGGTGAGAGCTGGAAGAAAAAACACGTGAGTTAAATTTTAACTAATTAATCAATTTAAGGATACTCGATAAAATCGAAACGATATCGAAGTTTAGAAATGTTCCAAATTTTGGAAAAAATACCAGATTTTACTTTTAGCTACCACACACAACATGTCTAGTCATGTTTATAGGCAAACAATAAATTATAGTACGAAGATAAATTCTTTTAATTTTTAAAAAGAATATTATTTGTTCTGTTCTATCGAAATTCTCATATCAGATCTCATAAATCAAGTTATTTTCCCAATAAATAATTGATAACTACTCCAAAATAAATAGAAAAGTTATACGTTCATTAATATTTAATAGGAACGTAATAAAAAGAAAAGAGATACTTTTATCGGTTTATTTTCATTTGTCATTTATTTTAAAAATACATTTCATTTTCATTTATTATTTTTAACATATCAAAAAAATATAATTATTTTTTTCATCTTTATCCTAAACATAATTAGTTATTCCTCAAATCATTTTCTAAGATCAATTAATATATACATTATGACAAAATACTCATATCAATCATTATTTCTTAAAGAACATGCAAATTCAAATGGACAAGTAAAAGTGAGCGACGAAAGAAATTTTGGCTCGTTAAAAAGGTCTAATGCCTTTCGAGAAATGGAGTTATTTTCAAATTTAGTCCAACTTATAATTCATCTTAATAAATTAAATTATACTTTGATTATTGTATTTTTTTTGTTACTTAACATTTAAATCATATTCTCTAATTGTTGTCATTATTCCTTTCTTTTAGAAAATGCTATGTAATTTTTTTAAATATTAGTATTTGTTATGACTTTTTTACTTTCATAGTCATTTTTTTTTTCTATATGTGCTCTGATTTGCTTTCTTAAAGTCAAGGATTTATTAAAAATAATATTTCTATCTATATACTTATATATTATCATCCATCCTAAAATTATTTCACTGTGATATTACACTCTTCTTTTTTAGTTTAAATGTGGACCAAGTCCACAGCTTTATTAAAAAACATAAATCAATACCAATTGGGTCCAAAAATGGCCCGATTGGAAACAACGAAACAAAGTAAACTACAGGAAGAAGAAAACAAACTAACAGAAAAGGAAATAAACTCTAATGTCTGAAAAAAATTTCAACTTCTCCGATGTGACAGTCGCCGGAGAATCCTCCCAAAGTGACGACCAGTTTGTTACTATTATTGATCAAAACGTCTTTGTAATTTCTTTTGAAGTGTATGACTAAATTAAGTAAAACCAAGTGTGATTATTGACAGTAGAATAAAGATTTCAACATAAAGTGAAACATTTAAGTGTTTTATTAATAATTAATTACTCCTATTTGCTTTCACTTTGCATGCCCAAATTCCCATCTAGTCTATCAGTATTAGTTGATTTTGCTACAAAACAAATGGTTAATAGAAAATATTTTTCACTCACCAATCAAATATAAAAAAATAAGTTAGAAATTAACTGGATTTTCAAGAAAACAATTTTTTATCAGATAGTTTTTGTGGGTCAATTGATTTTATACTCCTTCTAAAATTATTTTTATTTTTATACATAACAAATTTAAAATAACATACAAAAATAAAATGAAATTACATGATCATTTTCTTTTATATAAACTATATATTATAAGGGATATGCTCATCATTTTTCTCCTCTTTTATAGCCACAAAATATTCCTCCATATTTGAACTTCTGTTACAAATATAAAAAACAGTCTCTTTCTTTATTAAATTATTTATATATACTCAATAAGGAACCAAACTAAAAGACATAAATAGAAATGAAGAGCTATCATTTTAAAGTTATAATAGATACCATGTCATTTTAATTTAACCTAATTTTTATTCTTAAAAAATAATTCTAATTTTAATTTATTTATATCAAATTAGATCTGTTCAAATCGAACCAAAATCGATAACCCGAATTAATAATGAGTTATTGATTTAGCGATTTTGATAATAATTTTAATTTTTTTTATTATCGAATTATAAGTTCTTAACGGTTTGAGATTTCTTGACGGGTCAACTAATAACTTGATAGTAAGTTAATAAATTATATTCATACCATTCGGCATATAAAGTCCTTGGCTCATTTAGTTTCATATTTTTTTTTTAATTGTTTCAAAGTCTTGGTTATTCTACCATGTGACAGTGTTTGCTTTTGAGCAATTTGCGCACATTTCATTTAGCTTATCAACCTATTTCTAAGTAATTTTCAATGTATTTTTGTGTGTCAAATCTTAACGATTATACCAATAATCGATAAGCCAATATCTTAAATGATTCTATAATGATTCAACATGTCTATAAATCAATAACCAATATATTAAATTGATACACTTCAAAATCGAACCAAACTCATCGATATACAAATCTATTTCAGATCAAATGTTGTCACATAAATTTAAACCTATTATAAGATTAAAGAATAAACACGAGGACGACATGATCCACTAAATAAAAGCAAACGTTGTAGTAATGATTAGAAAGAGGATTTTTAATTTTTTATGTTTTTGCAAGAATGACCCTATATTGTTTTTCTGTTTCCCAAATCAGTACACAATCTATTAATATTCTCCAAAATCCCCCTACCTTTTGAAATTCTTGAAGACGTGCTCGCCTTGATGAACGGCTGTCCCCATTTTCTTCTCTCTCCCCACTTCTACTCCTTTGCCATTATCAATTTCTCAACAAAAAAAATCCTTCTTTGTCTTTTTCCCTTTTGTTTAGTCAAATTCTTTTGTTACCAACAACTTATATTGGTCTCTTCAATTGGGGGGCCTATTTATTTTCCCTCATTTCTCTTTCAACAAACTCATTTTTGTGTTATATAGCTTCAATGTTGAAGTGGGTGTCGGTTTCTTTGCTCTACTAGGTGAAAAAAAGTAAAAAATCTCAGGTTGGGTTCTTTTTTTTGAGTTCTTTTTTAGTTTTTGGTTTTGGGGTTTGCTCTATTTGGTTGGTTAATGAAATAAAGATTTCAAATTTGGAAAATGTGATAGAGTTCAGTTGTTCTCTGCGATCTTGTTGATTTTGGGTAGAAGTTTCTTTTTTGGGGTTTGCCTAATTGTGGGATTCTCCTTTTTCACTCAAAGATTGCAGCTTTTTCATGTTTCTTGCTATTTGAAGTGTCTTTTTTACTATGGGTGCTGAATGTGTGTAAGTTAAGAGTGTAATTGTTAAGTTTCAGACAAAATGAATGGTTTGATTATTCTGGTATAGTTGAAGAGATATTGTAAAGCATTATCCTGATATAGTTCTTTCTTTGTTTTTTTCCTATTGTCTCTGTCTGGTGTGAACTGTTTGTTGATTCATTTAGCAGCTTTTCAGGAATGTAGTAGTTGTGTTCTGAATTCTAGCTGAACTAATAATTGTTGCAGAAGTGAATTTTTAAAGGTTGTAGTGGCAAACAGTTACTGGTTTTGTTTATAGTTTTTTTCTTGTCATTTCCTTGAAATGTCGGTATCATGGTTGTTACAGGATAAGAATTGGTTACCAGTAACTCAATGGAGACACTAAATTCACCAGCTACAATGACCTTTCCCAGAGAGCCTGCCAACTTTGATGAGGTTTCTATGCATCAAAGCATGCTCTTTTCCGATAGTCTTAAGGTACCTACCTCTTTTCCTGAGCTGAAAATTGGTATTTTTTTCTTCAAAATAGGGTCTTAGAAACATGAAAGCTATGTCTCTTGGTTCGAGATAGTTGTAGAAATGACCATCTTTTATTTTCATTCTGAATATTTGATTCCAATGTTTCAAAACTTGGAAGCTGCATATGGAAAATATCTTTTGACCATTTTGCTGAATTTCTAGAAATCTTTGATTTGAAACTTGCTAGTTAGTCAACGAAGGAGAGGTAAAGAATCTGGATTCTTAATTGCTTCTTTGTTGACTTGGTACTTAATTTCTTGCTATTATATTTTCTGACTTGCACTGGTTTCTTCAGGATTTGAAGAATCTGAGGAAACAACTTTACTCAGCAGCTGAATATTTTGAATTATCTTATTCTAATGATGAGCAAAAAGATGTGTGAGTCATCTGTGGACTTGTGGGAAAGTTCAATTCCATTTTCCATGTTTGGTATGGCTTTTAACATATTTCTCTTCTTACAGTGTGGTAGATACGTTGAAAGAGTATGCTATTAAAGCACTTGTGAACACCGTGGATCATTTAGGCTCTGTGACATATAAGGTCAGTGATCTCTTGGATGAAAAAGTTGATGAAGTTTCTGGAACAGAGCTGCGTATCTCTTGCATTGAGCAGGTAATAACCTTTTCCTTTTTTGGATATCAGAACTTTATGAAGACCATCATTTAAATTCTGATCTGATAAACCATGGCGTTGTGCTAAAAAAAGTGACCATCAGTAATCGCATGTGTGACTAATACTCTCTTTAGTGTCATATATTGAACTTTGTTGAAAAATACCTTTGTGACTTTAAGCGTGTGTATGAAATGGAGGAGAAAATGTTTTCCAATTTTACATGTTTGGTCGGTAAAAATATTTTGGAAACGACTTCCATAATGGAAGTAGAGAAAAAAAGTTTCATAAGTGACATTCCAAGTTCATGTCTCGTCCCCACCCACCCAATGCCCCTTGACCATCCCACCCCATCCTAGCTCCATAATGTTCTTTGGATAATATTTTTTAGCTTACTTACCAAACAGTCAAACACTAGATAATAAGTAAGAAACTCACTTGATTTTCAATGGAAAACATTTTCCCTCATACCAAACACACGTGTACTTCTTTGATCTCCCTCCTCACCACACAAATATAGAAGATCTTGTAACAATATTACTTCTTATAGATAGGTTGATCGAATGAACTCCACAACTGAAATCAAGATGCATATCAAGTTCCATGTGGTTGAAGAAATATAATTTGTTGAGAATCCTTGCAAATGAACTTTTACGGTTTTTTTCAAGTATTGTAAAGGTAGTAGTCATACTCTTAAGACTGCCACATGCTAACACCTTCTGAAGATCCAATGCTTGAACATATCAAATGCCTGCAATTTTACTTATATTTTGTGTTCAAAGAATTCTATGTCTAATATGTTTTATCGGTGAAGTGAATGCACTGACACACACACAAATGGTGAAACTAGTTATGATTTATGAGGCTTTTCTACAGTTTTACATTGTTGGTGTGATCCTAATTCATTAGGCTTTCTTTGGGAATTCAAGAATTGGATACAGGATTTAGTTAATCTATTTCTGTCTTATTTCTTGTTTGGCTTGTTGGACCTAATTTGGAATTTAGAGCTGGAGCCAACTGTGAGAATGACTCAGACCCAGCATATTTGTGTAGATATATGGCTATTTGATCTTGTTGCTCTACTAAATGGATCAATAATTGGAGCAATATATTTTTGACTTAAACAGTCACAATGCCTGGGAAATTCCACCCCTAAGCCCCCTAACCCATGGCCTTAAAGCAGATTTCTGATACTGAACATATGATTACATCTCCCAGATATTCTCGCTTGAAAATAACAGCATCACAGTCTTGTTGATCCACCCTTGTGTTACTATCTTTGTGCTTGGTTGTGAGGGTGTAGCTTGTGTTATTCTGGTTCTTATTCATTTTACCTGATTTTCTTGTAGAGACTAAAGACATGCCAGGAGTACATTGATAATGAGGGTCTGTCGCAGCAATCATTGGTTATTCATACTCCTAAGTATCACAAGCGATATATATTACCAGGTAATTATGATTACATCACATCAGTATATCTTTCAAATCTGTTCCTTTAGCAGTATTTGTCGCTCTCAAGTCAGAACTTAGAACATTCAACTATTTTTGATAATTTTTTTCCAGTTGGCGAGACAGCGGATGGTGGTAACCTTACCAAGTTACAGTACCAAGGGTGTAGTCTTGACGATCAAGATGATTGGAATCAATTTAGAAATGGTAGAATATTATGCATTGCCTTCAATTTTTGAGTTTCCATTAACATATTTGTGAAAAATGATATGACCGGAGCTGGTTTCTTTTGATGCAGCTGTGCGAGCAACAATTAGAGAGACTCCACCACCTGCAGCTGGGTAAATTTTTCTTGCTTCTTGTTGTATCCAGCCACCTGATTTCTTTTATGTTTTACCATGCATAACTATGTAGAGATTCATATACTGCAGGAAAGGATTCTCCCCATCACCTACTCCACGTCTTCTTCAGCAGTATGGAAAATTTTCGTTCTCCGGAACCACACCAAAAAAGGAATTAGGTCTCTTTCCATCATTTTCTTGCATTATAATATCTTTGCATCTTAGTGCGTATAATTTTCCACCTTCTTGGTCTCATTGCTGCTTGTGATTAATTTTATCCTTCTTTTTGTACTTTGGCTTAATGTTCCAACAGACAAGCGGACAGTTTCACCGCATCGGTTTCCTCTTTTACGAACTGCATCTCTTGCTAGTCGGACAACCACCCCCAAAAGTTCTAGGCCAACCACCCCAAATAAGAGTCGGCCTACTACTCCAAACCCTTCTAATGGGAGACGGGTAATTACTGGATCCTATATATTTTTCATTTGCTTAATATGTTAATATCCAGAAGCAGCCTTAATAACTCTTAATTGCTGCTGAGTGCTGATAAGATCATGCTCCTCTATCCTGAGATTCGGCAACTTGTCTTGTTCATATTAGACTTGTAGTTATTTTCTTTTAACTGTTAAATTGTGTTTGAGCAGTACGCTGCGGAGCCTCGTAAATCAGCTTCAATGCGACTTTATGCTGACAATATAAACACCAAAGATCCTGAGCAACATTCCAGCAAAAGTAAACGTCTGCTTAAATCTTTGCTCAGTCGACGCAAATCAAAGAAAGATGAAACGCTATATACATACATAGATGAATATTAACAGGAACAAGTTCAAAGAAAAATGTGACTAAAGGAGGGGTGGATGTGGTGGCACTTGCAGCTGGAAACCAGGAACATGATCTTTTGCTTGTATTGCATTAGTGCTTCTCCAGTTGTTACACGGAAAATCAGGGACAGGCTTTTTTATTAGTGCACTGCTTACCTTTCCTCAATTGTATATTAAATTTTGGCAATGTATTGACAGTTTATAAACACAATTATAAAGACTTGATTAGTTGTCCTGGACATCGTCTTGACAGATCATGAAGTAATATAGTGTCCGTTTGGACAAAATTTGAGTTGAAAATATGATTTCCTCATTTGACAGTAAACCAACTTCATAGTTCTCACTTCTCCAATATGTAGATATAATGCATAATTGTTGATAAGTTAAATAATTCTGATTCTCTCATTTTCTTTCACCCTTGCCTTTTGAAACAGCGAAAACATATTGATGAAATTCTTATGGAATGTTTGAAGCATGAGGAATGAGAATATCATCTAAAACTTTGCTGTATGCCAAATGTTATATATCAGTTTTTAGCTTTATATCATACGAGGATTTGAGTTGCAAGAGGTTGCTTGAGCATCTTTGTTTAGGCCAAAGTAAGCACTCCATTTAATGCTTCTTGTAGTTCCAGAGTACATGATATCAATTATAAAGAATTAAAGATGAATATAATCTGAAGTTAAATTATCAGCTGGCAATGAATACCACTGTCAATTACAAACAGGAAATGGCTTCCTGTATATGGCACATCAATAAATGAACAATGTCCAAAAATATTCAATAGAGGTCTCTATTCCTTCTTTGGACCAAATTCTTCAATGGTTTTTGTTGTGAGTGTGAGTACATCTACAAATGCACTAAATGATGCACGAAGAAATCTTGCTTCAACAGCCTCAAAATTCCTGTAAAACATCAGGAACAGTTCAGAAAACTGAAATTTCGGCAAAGAAGAGTGATATTCTTCATTCCTAATCAGAGGAAGAAGCGTCATTTTGAACAAGGTTTCCTTTGACCAAGAAATTTGTTATAAAGATAACTGACTGGTGCCAAGTATATTTCAGCAAACAAGGAAGAGTTCACAAAGAACAGTTACATCTGTTACCTGTCAATTTATGGCTCAGGCACGCAACCAAAACATTGTTTTTATCATCCAAAAGAAAACTCTAGTGCCATATCAGTGCTTGATTTCTATAAATGATAGGAGTAAAAATTAAGCAACTAGCACAATACAATTATGTTCTTAAGAACTTGTACTTTTGGGTTCCTTTACAATATGAAGATATATATAAATTTTGATGAAGTATGAAGATTTCCATAAATTACCATCAGACACACACACACACACACACGTACACACACACACACTCATTTATATATATATATATATATATATATATATCCCAAACGTATAAGAAAATATTGAAAACAATGACTACTAACAGCAGTTGGATCAACAAAATGCAAAAGTGCAAAAATCAACTGGTTTGAATAAATTCAATGAGTAGAAGCATGTGCTCACACTGAAAGCTTCCCGTTAGATACAGACATATGCCTCTTCACTTTATCAGGCTGCAACTGCAATTATTAATAGTACGAGAGTTGGAGCACTGGTGAATTGAAACAGATGCTACAATGAATAAAAAACCTCAGTATCACTATACCTCCTTATCAACAGCCAATGCAGTATAGACAATATGAGCATTTTCTTCAGACCCAAGATCTACTTCCAAGTTGCTGCATAAAGTATACCTCATAAAATTCACTCCTTCGCCAAGGAATACAAATCAAAAGTGCATTAACATAGAGTATAACTCATTATTGCTAGGGCCTAGATGTCACAAATTTGCTACTCTGTTCTTCAGTTCTGATTCTTGAGTTTAAGAATGCATGAAGTCCCATTTCATTGCCAAATGGAACAGTAGACGGAGATGTATTTTTTGTTTAGTATTAATTCACAAAAGAACAGCAACAAAATGGACAAGCAACAATAGAATACATTAAGTAAAGGAAGATATGAAGATAGGGTTGCATCAAGAAGAGATTAGACAAATCAGGAAGGGCAATTACACACAAGATGTCCCGGAACCTGAAATTTCTGCTCTTGCAGTTGAAAAAACCTGCTAGCATATAACAATAAAACAAGAGAACTAACAAGCTTTCTCAGTGACAATTCAGTATGAGACTTTCCAGCTACTCTCCACCAACAAAGCTAATACGTAACATTCAATTTACGCGAGTCTTGAGACCACAAGTTCATTCCTAGGCCCTAGCTCACTGTCAAGCTTCTCTACAAGTGTCTCAATACATTAAAAATAACAGAGATAGCTTTACTATGACCCATTACTTGAAAACCAGCTAACCCCCTCATCTACTACCCCTTAACCACCAAAAAGAAGAAGAAAACATTAAAAAGGAGAAGTCTTTTTGATAAGGAACCAAGTAAAACCATATGGGTATGTTGAAATGAGTGATTAAAACCAAGAAAAATAAATTGCAAGAGCATAAATAAATCCTTTTAATATACATTTGTTCACATAACATAAACACAAAAGCATTTTCTTGATATAATAAGGATTTCTTAGTTGTAAGATGAAGAGAAAATACCAGTTGAAGTCCCATGGAGACGCCACACCATCCATTCCTTCCTGGACACAGTTTCTGTACAGCAGTTGAAGTTATTGGTTGATTATTAGGGTTTTCGAATTTTGGGTACTAAAATCTATAAACCCGACCCGCAAAATGGTAAGTGGGTATCCTTATTAGTGTGAATCAGAAATAGGCCGTGTAATATAATACTCTTTCCGTCCCTTTTTACTTGTCCAATTTGACCGATCAAGAAATGACATTTTCTTTTTATCTATTATATTCTTAATTAATTAATTTTGAAAAAAGTAAAACTTCTTTAATAAGTAAATTGATTTTTGAATTCTATTGATTAATAGGGGTAAAATGGTACTCACTATGTCAATTATTATTTTCTTAATAGGTGTGTCAAGTAAAAAATAGACAAATAAATAGAGTCAGAGAGAGGGTGAATTTGAGTTTAGTTAAGTCCCAATATAAATATTGGATATTGAATGGACAACGCCTTAGCCTTTAAAATTATCGTGATTTTTAATTTTTGCTCCTCAAATTGGTTGTTTTTATCCATGCTTCTCATTTTGATGAAAATTTATGAATCAAAATGCCTTAATTATAAACTAGTTTCGCAAGACAAAAATTTAGATAAGTTATGTAGTATATAATTTGTAAGGCGAAAGTTTAGAAAACTATGGAATATGATATTGTGAGTTGTGAAATTAAACTTATGTATTATAATGCATAATTTGTGTCTTGCTATTCACAAAACAAAAGTTTAAACCGGAAAATTTGCAATTCTGAAATAAAACTTTTTATCTGATGATAAGATATAACTTGTGCCTTGCGAATTTTGTTTTTTTCAGATTTAGAAATATTATTGATCACTTTTTGTTTATTCAAAGAGTTGAAAATCATAAATTTAAGAGATAAAGTTAAAGGCCGCAAATGATCCTTTTTGTATTGAAAGGTTTCTTATTAGTATTAAATTAAAATAACGTTTTTTTTTTGGGTATGTACCGTAATTTGTCTAAATTAGGACGCAAGTAATTTAAAAAGAGGTTATAAAAAGAAGGAAAAGATAATGTAAAAAAATTGGTTACGTGTGTTTTAATTGATAAACTTGAATCAATGGAACTTCCACCGTCCAATAATATTTTTTCGTTATTAATTTGACACACATCTTAAGAAACAATAAATAATATGAATAATATTACTATATTATCCTTTGAACGTATGAAATTAATGCTTTCGAAAATGTATTAGATATTGAATAGTATTTAATAACAAGGGTAAAATAGACACAAATGGATAAATTATCTCTTAATTTTTTTAATGTGATAAATATTATTCGATAACTATTTTTATTATAGTGGACAAGTAAAAATGGACGGAGAAGTATTTATGACACCACTATCCCATTTAAGAGTCTGCTAAGAGATTTAAGAGGTATTATTAATCTTGTTTGGCTAGAATTGTGTGTATAAGAATATTCCACTGGTATATTACTCACTATTGGCCCATCTGCCACCTTATTGTTATTATTGTGGGTATAATTTAGATGCCAATTTTAGCATCTTTATTTATACTCTTTCATTCAGTTTTTGTTACCCTTTTTCTTCTGTTAGCCATACTTCACACCAAAAAAAACCATGAGCTTATGATGCATGTTGGAAAGTCTCTTTTCTTCTCCAATAAATAAGTTAAATCAAACAAGGCAAGTTTCTTCCATTCTTCCTTTATATGTGTTGTTATTTTTTACTTTTTTATTTTATGATGGTTTTGTTTGAGCGTGTTGTCACGCTTATCCTTTCATACTAGTAATTTGCAGTATTACTCTTGTAGTTTCCTTGTCCTTCTTATGGTTTATTATTTGTTGTTTCTTGTACTTCATTTGTCATATTATTTTGTATATTCTTGTCTTTCTATCGGTTCTGATTTGTTGTTTCATGTACTTTGTGTATTATTTTGTGGTAGTTACTATTCTTCCCTTCTTCTTTTTTTCAAATTGTTTTTAGCATATAGTAGTATATTTGCTTCGTCACATTCGTTATTTCTTTTACCAGACTGTTTTGTTTTGCTTCACTTTGAGGCGAGGATCTACCGAAAACATCCTCTCTACTTGCCAAGGTAGGCATCCATGTATACTCTACTCTCTCCGCACTCCACTTTTGAAATTACATTAGTATGTTATTATATGGCGGGATTACATTAAGTATGTTATTGTTGTTGTTACACATGGATTATTTTATCGAGTATCTGCTAGTTTTTGCCACCACAAGTACTATATTAGTTAATTACCTCTGTTTGTTTCAATATTCTCTCCTAGTTTAAGGTTTGTTTCTTGAACTCTTGATTCTTTTAATTACATATATATATATATGTTAAGATCCATACATAGAGAGAGAAATATAGATGATTCAAGGTATTTGTTTTTTGTTTGGCCATTTAACTACTATTACTTTGTTAATTGGCTGAGAAACTCCACTTCTAGGAGAAAAATAAACAGGTTTTGTCCAACAGTATATATATCATATATGGCTTCATGATAATATTTGGTTGGTTGCCTGTAATGCATGTGATTGGGCTTCTCAGCTTTTATTTATGAGTTTTAAGTTATATATATCAAGAAGGAGAAGAGGTGAGCATAGTTTCACTTGCTTGGTAACCTCTTTCCCCGTCAGAGATAAGAAAGAATCCAAATCTTGCAAGGATGTTAGACTTCAACGTCTCTACACCATTAGGTGATCTTTATCTGTTATTAAACTCTTTTCATGTTAGCTCATCTCCTTGTTTGTAAACCTGGTTCTGGTTCCTTTTTTGAAGTTTCTGGTTTGTAGTTCTAATTTTCTTGATTTTGTTCGATGAAACTACGTATACATGCCAGTTTTTGGTGGTTAAGTTTGCTGCCATACATAGTCAGGAATAATTGCAGAGTACAACATCAGAAATTGGTGTCTTAAGACTTAGCATAATTGCAGAGTACAACATCAGAAGACTGTCAAAAAGGATAATTATCATTAAGGAAAATGAACAATGGTCTGCACTTATCAATACAATGAAATTCAGAAAATGCACTATGCCCTTAACCAACTACAAAATAAAAAGTGGTTAAGGGCGGGCTAAAATGTCTTGTTCTGATCTTTTTGTCAGCACAGTGTAGCTTTGCCTTTTCATGCATTTCCTCCTTTCCCCTTCCTTCTGTAATGTGATTCGTGTATGTGAAAATGCTGTACAGTTTATTCCACCGGTTAAGTCACCAGTGGACTGAATTTGCCATCATAGGTTCATGTGAGGGATGCATTTACTCTGACTGGTTTTACACGACTTACACCTCTTCGCATAAACTCAAATGCCAACATAAACAAACCAAAAAAGAACAACAAGAACATCTGTAGCCTTCCTATAATGTCGGCCATGACAGATGATCTACTTCCTTCTGGAGAACTTTTTCTAGTAAGTGGAGTTATATTCCATCCTGACAGAGACAATCAACTATTAAAGCAATGCACCTTAACCAATAAACTTAGGAAACATTACAGGACTTTGTGATATATGGAAGTTTATGTATCCTACAGAGACATTATTCCTCTATATCTTGTTCCTCCAAATAGTCTTAGTTTCATGCTGCTGCTTTCTACAAAAAATAGGAACCAGTTATTAATACTTACCAGAGCTTTTCTTGGGCAAATTTGTCCAGTCATACGGGCTAATCTTACTTGTGGATGCCTTGATCAACTCAAGAAGAGCGTCATTGACCTAGAATATTTAATAATTGTCATATACTTCTTCCATTAACAATCAACACACATAAGACTACAGCCACACAAATCATTTGAAGCCACAAAGAGTACTAAAACTTTGAGAATCTCATAACATATTATGCATTTTGAATTCCCTATTCATAACTACCAAAAAGTTGATTTGGCCTATTTGTGACCACCAAGAAGAGTAACCCCTCCCCAGGTTCTTAGGATGCTTTTCTTGACCTCCACCCTTAGTACGTTATATTTTTTTTTTTTGTTTTTGGTAACTAAGCAGAATGGATTTTTTTTCTTACTGGATGATTCTGTATTTGCATAATAAAGACATAAAAACATACCTCTTCTGTCCTTTCATGACTAACAAGATGTCCTCCAGGAAGCTCTACCATTCTAGCATAAGGATGTAACTTCTTCGCAAGCCTCTTTGCATGGCTTAACTGAGCAATGACATCATGCCTACACAGAAGAAAATGTTGATTTATATCTAAATATAATGTATCTGGCAATTTGAGATTGGATCTCGTGGATAATGCATTTACCTGCCATGAATTACAGATATTAGGAATCCAGCAGAGCAGATAGATTCAAGATCAGCCCGTGATATCTTATGAGTCCAACAAGCATTTATCTGTCCATCAAATCCACAATTTGACTGCATCCCGGATGCTGATATGCCTTTCACGTATTCCTGGCACAGCCCAAAAATAAGAGGGGGAAAAACACGTAAGCACCTTAAGTCTTGTTTATTGTAGATTACATTTCAATGGTTGAAAAAAAAAAAAAAAGATGGCCTAAGAAACATCTAGGTCACTCACTTGATATAATATTGCTCTTCGGGTCGTAGTTCCCACATCTTCCTCGAGGTATTCCTGCAAAGCACAAATCACAAATATGTTAAGTCATATATCACTCCCTAGTCGTGATAAATATTATCACTGATTAGAATTTAGATCTTTTTTTTAGAAATAATAGAATTTATATCAAGTGATGATAAACCAACTAATCAGCAATTGTACGAAAAGTAAGCACATAAAACCATCTAGATACATTTTATGTTGTACAACAATAGATGACATGCATATGAAACTTTGCAGTACAGGGGAACTAGGGAAGTGAAGCCTCATAATTTTCAACATTATTAAATGAACAATTAATCAACCTTTGAATAATGGGTGTCTAAATCAACAGCAGCCCTCTGTTCAGGAGTCTTTGCCTTCAAAAACCGGACAGCAATTGATAGAGTTTGACGATCGAGCTGCAGGAAAAAAGACCACATGAGTACTAGAATCAACAAAAAAAACTCTTCATTCCGTACAAGAATATAATGAGAAACAGACAGAGGAAGCATTGTGTTTGAGGTATAACATTAATTTGGTTAGCATCTTTTGATACAATTAGCACTCATCAAAATTACAGGATCTTATTCATAACTAGCATGTATCTGTTCAAAAAAAATTGTGCATCTGACATGATGTTGCCAGTTACTATTTTTTTTAATCAAGTCAAGTAATATAATTTTATTGATAATGGAAAAGCATTAGTACGAAACCATCAATCAATTATGTCTTAGTTCCAAAAAAGCTAGGATCAATTTATAAATATCTTAAATTAAAAGAAATTCAAATGACTCAGACATTCATGGCCAATTTAACCTGATATTTTATTTGAGCTGTGGAAGTAACCACTAATGCTTGCATTAGGGTATGCTGTCTACATCACATCCTTTGGGGGTGCAGCCCTTCCCCTTCCCCTGTGCTAATGCGGAATGTTTTGTGCACCAGACTGCCCTTCTTTTCTTTTCCTATTTCATCAATTGGGGTGCAGTTGAGTTGTATAAATGTTTAGGCTACACCACTGCTAAACTAAGATATAGTGACCACATTAATCATTTTCATTGTTGTCCCTTCAATCTTCCAATTTTCACTCTTCAATGGGTGCATTACTCAACCTTTTATAGATACCCACCAAACTAGGTACTTTTTTTTCTCAATTTATTTTTCCCATAAGAGCTATTAAACACACTGTTTTTCACCCTCACTCCTTTGAAAAAGTACTGTTTTCTCTTCTTATACCACATGAATCATCTCAACAGACTCATCCCAGCCATCTATAACTCTTCGGAATTGTTTCTGTGCTTCAGAGACAGCACAATATTATTTAATCACATGCATGATGTTACTACCCATCCCTTGATCAGTAGTATTCATCTCCATCATACCTAATTTCCTTCAGATTTATCAGTAGATGAATTTCTGACAACATTCAGTGCTCAGGTCTTTGTTAAACAAAGTTGTCTTTCCAGATAGTACATTTTAACTATGCAAACATGACTTTTTTATTATTTGTCAGATCAACTATTTGGGTCTTGTATGCTACCAAGTAGAAAAACATTGTGGAATTAGGAACAACTCCATCAAATGGTCATACCGCCTATTGAAGAAGCAGACTGGCCTATAGCATTTCACTGGATTAAGAGGGGTCTCTCCTCACCCTCTGAGAAAAATGCTGAGTACCTCCTGGCCTTTCCAGAGCAAAGGAGAAAAGGATTACCTAATCTACAAGTATAAACTATAGTTGTGATATGTGTTTATCTCATATGTGATATGACAATCTGAGCATACAAACTTCCCCTTCCTTCCACATGGAATATGCTACAACAGAAGAATAAGAACAGTATTCCCTCCTTTCTCATACAGACAGACTGGAATCTCTCTCTCCACACACACACACACAGAGTAGAGACACTCACAAATGGACAAGATGGGTACATTCTTAATAATTATGTACCACACCTTATTTTTATTTGGATAACTCTGTAACTAATATCACCTTATAAGCACCAAATAATTCTACCTTCTCCACTTAAATATTAGACTTTGGTCTGCTAAAGGTTCAACCCCGTAACGTGCGCCTAATCTACACATAGCATGTTACACTTTTACCATCATACCAAATCCCAGGGAGCTTGCAGTGTCCAAATTCCACCTTGCTGCTTTCATTACATGACCACTGATGCCACGCTGTGAACTTAAAAAATGCTAGAATGGCCTCAATTAACGGAATATCTTCTATTTTTTTACTTTCAGTAAGCTGATTTTTGTATATCTTTCCTGGAAGGGGAATGCAATGCAAAGGAAAACCAAAACGGTCATTCAATTTTCAGATATAGCTGAACCATTCACTAAAATCTTTGAACAATATGTCCAATGACCAATAGTTGAAGAGAGGATCTTACCCTGGGAATACATTCATAGCCTCCTCCCGTGACATTCAGTAAAGCCAAAGACAAAACTCTCTCAGGCACCATTGCAGCCAATTTGCAAGATATCATAGCTCCTGAATGATTGGAAAAGAGTCCAAGTAAGCACAAATGTTATCAAATAAGTGTTTTCCCAGCCAAAGAATGAACTTGATTCTCAAATATCTTGTTCCACATTTTACACAAGTTGTTAAGCTGTACTGCAATGATCAGTTTCTAAAATTTGAAATGCCTTAAACTACTATTCGAAAGTTTAACTGGAATACTATATACTGCACATTTTATGCTTGATGACATACCAAGTCATCATCAATAACGCCAACCAAAAGAACAGAATCAGAAACTCACCCATTGAATGACCAAAGACATGCGCTTTTTCCCACCCCAAGTGATCCATTATAGCAATTGCATCTTTAGCCATAATACTAGTCCTGCACCAACAAACATCCAACATCAATTTAACTTGCTAACTACTTAACTTTAGTTCTTAGCTAAGAAATACTAGAAAAGTAGTTGAAGGTCTTCTCGTATATCTAATTGGAGCCCCACCAACAACAACTAAATTCTATCTCGAATTAGCTCGTATTGGTTGTAAATATCCTACAATAATCAAAAAAGTTTTTCCTTTTCCTACTTTATTCCTTCACTATCAGAATTTTCCTCAAATAAGTTTGAAAAATACCAAAAAACTATGGAAAAGTAATTAAAAGTACTGGTAAATGGGACTTACGTATATTCTGACTTTTTAGTGGGTACAGAGCTTAACCCCATTCCACGATTATCAAAAGCACAAACCTCCATATCCCCACCTTCACCGAAGCTCCGATCACCGGCTGGCGATTCAGAATCATTCGGCGTAATCGTCCCGGCGAGCGCCTTGATCTGTGGTTCCCATGAACTATGCGTCCCAGCCAATCCTTTAAATCATTCAGAAACAACCAAACCAAAATTCAATCCACATTAAGAAAAACCCATATAGAAAAAACATTGAAAAATGTCAAGAAAAACGAAGAATACCAATAATCAAGAGAACTTTGACCGGGCCTTGACCATAAGTTCTGTAAAAAATCTTGGTTCCATTGTTGCCAGTTGCATCTACACCGTTCTGGTATTTACCCACCTCACAGAAAGGCATGTTTCGCTTTTTCCAAGGATAAAAATCAAGTCTTTACAGATTTTTTTCAGAAAAAGAGCAAAATTGGAGAAGAAAACGGAATTAAAACTGAGAACAAGGGTGGATTTTTTTTTTGAAAAAATGTGGGTTCCTTAAATCGACAATCTTAAGGCTACTCGGTTTTGGTGTTATTTATTTCTAAAAAATCAATTTTGTGCCCAATGTATACGTGGCGGATAAGGAACGGTTGGATGGTAAAGTTAGTGTGGACGGTCGGCTTTGAGCAGCTTAGACTGGGAAGAAGTCAAAAGTCAAAGAAATCGCTTTGTCAGTTTTTTTTTTTTAGTTGTTTTTATCTGGTATTCGGTATCCATGTTGAAAACTGATTAAATTTAAATTTGTGACAAAAAGTTTTACATTGTATGTGTGAATCTACACTTAAGGGCACTCAAACTCAAGACGTCTGATTAACTATGAAACAACTTATCATACCATCACAAGTTCACAACCCTTATTAGTGAAAGAAACCTTTGATTTTGAATCACCGTGGAACTTACGACTACAAATATATCTATTACTTCCTCCGTCCCATTTTATATGATGTACTTTGATTTGGCACAAACTTTAAGAAAAATGGAAAGACTTTTAAAACTTGTGGTCCAAAATGAATGATAGAAATTTGTGTGGTTGTAAATCATTTAATTAAGGGTAAAAAAGACATTTTATAGGCAAATTGTTACTTAAAATAGAAATGTGTCATTCTTTTTGAGACTGACTAAAAAGAAAAGTAAGTCATATAAATTGGGATAGAGGCAGTATAATTTTGCACGCGAAGTGTGAGGAGGATAAAATATAGTAAGATTTATTTTTATCTCTATAAATGGAGAGATTATTTCTAATGAACCATCTCAAAAAAAAATTATCCGAACAAAGATTGAAAAAAGAAGAAGTCAATATACATATAATAAAACACATGGGAGAATATAATTTATTTATTTATTTATTTATTTGAAGGATTGATAGGAGTAGTAGTTGAACAGTAAATTAAGTTATGGTGATCATTTGCTTTTCAACGTAATTCTTAATCTTTGACAATCTTTTTTCTTTTTAAATGCTTTGTATAAATAATTTATTTATTCACCCTTTTTTTCTCACGTGCAACACAGATTTTTAACGTTTTCCTTGTTTCTTTTTTTTATTCTTAAGTTTTCTTTTTTCACCAGAGTTGAAAAGAATAAAGATATTTAAGTTTTAGAGGTCATATTTGTTCCAACAACTTTGAAGCATGTGGATGAGAGGAAATTTGAGTGTGTTTTGATGTTAAAAGCTGATTCAGAAAACACGCGATTGCATTTGGACAAAATAACAACTTTTATCCACTCTAGTACAAAAGACAGAATTTCAGTATAATCATGTTCAATAATAACATTTTATTATGATAAATTTTTTTTTAAAAAAATCGATCATTCATGTTATGTTATATTTCACTATAACAAGAATAACACATCGAATAAAACAACTTATTAAATTTGAAGATAGGGGAAACTCTGTACCATTTTGTGTCATTATTGCTTATAAGTCCATTTTAAAGGAGAACATTGTAATTCTTTAATTGAAAACAATTTGATTATAAATTTTCTTAGACCCTTAATAGCATACTTTTATAATCACATAGATATCATAATATTAATACCTATGGACGAAAAGTTTGGGAGCAATCTTTTTGTCTTAAAACTCCGTCGCAGTTCAAATTGTGCCACGCAAATTGGAATGAAGGGAATATAACATACAAAGATTTCACAAACTTTTTAATCATCTGAACAGAGAAAGTATATACAGCTTGCCCAAATATATTAATATCCTACCTACTGGAATAATCTCCAAAGCATTCTGATATGAGAAAACACACAGCTTACATATGATATAAGACCTTAGCCCAACAATATTTACAAAATGCCTTTGGGATTGAGGCGTAGTAGTCGTATACTTACAGAACGTGTAATCCTATCTATCTCCGACTTGATCTGATAGAAAAATGCATGGAACATACATACGTGAATTAAGCGAACCAGAAAGATGGTTTAGAGAGCAGGAAATAGCCATCCCATGGTCAAACCAAGTAGCAAACCAGCACCAGCAAGACTTAAACCCAAGGTAAAAGCTATAGCAGACTTGTTTATCTTGAATTTTCCCTTTCCTGTCTTCTTCTTAATAGGCTTATTATATCTAAACTTCTTCAGTTTCCGTCCTTTGATTGGGATAACGGGGAAGCAAGTCGAATAGTTGATGGAATCTTGCTCATCTTTGTTCCTGAGCTGGAGGACAAGAGCTTCAAGCTGCAAAATTTGAAGCCACTGCCGGTAAGCAAAGAGGTGAGAAGCCTGTCTGAAGAACAGCTTGATCACGTGCTCCTTCTCGTTGTAGGCTTGCTGTGCCAGTTGTTCAGCCTCTCTTGCACGGGTTTGAGAATGGCATAGTGCTTCTAATAGCTGTGTTTTGCTGAGATCGCTTGATCCTGGTTGGGTTTCTGATGAGAGGACGTTGGCAATACTTAAATTGTCATCACCACCACTGGAATTAGAAGAATACACGTTAGTGTTCTTAATAATTAGAGAATGAGATGAGAAGGAAACTAGGTCAACCACAATACATTTTGTGCAATTGTTTATGGAGTTTCACTATATTACAGAAAACTTCAACCTACGAAGAACTTCATGATCCCAGGACATCCTTTATTCATTTACTTGAAATGAAGAGATTCTGCAATGTTAGGTGATTGGAAGAAAAAAAAGACCGAGTAACTATAAGAGATATGTTTTATCACTCTCCGGGAGTCATTGTTGATTATTCCACCACATTTGTCAACAGTAAGCCCCAACCAGCTTATCAAAGTGGGTTGAAATTGCAGAAATGAAGGGAAAGAACAGTCTTTATCTTTTTTTCTTTTCCTCTGTCTCCTTTGTACAGACACGAGAAAAGAAAATCAATTTAACTGAGAGAATACTTCTAGGAGAAAAAGAGTTGAGGATTCGACTCACCTGCATTCGTGTCAATGAAATTTCAACAAATTGAGGGCATTGAGACTTTTAAGCTATTAATCCACATTACAGTACTAATTTACTACCTGAATATCCTTAAACTCTGCAAATCCATATTTCAGGCCTATAATAGATACTCTTTTTTTGTACAAATAAGAAAAATAGTTTTTTCTTTTCTCTCCTCCATACGGTGGAGGAAACTTGCTTCCACTTTTTTTTTCATGTGCTGCATCTTGTTACAAGATCGACGAACTAAGTTTACTTTATTGTATACCTCCTCCATCCTAAGACTATTATTTCTTTGCTTAAACGGAAAAGACAGTAGCTAAATCCAAAAAGTCATATTAGTGTATAGTAATGCTACTTCAAATTATTTTGAATTCGACATAGTACCTTTCACATCTTTCAACCATTATAACTCACAAAATAACTTCTTCAAACATTTTTTCTTCAACCTCGGAAGAAGTCTTCCCAGGTCATGTAAAATTGGTAAACGAAAATATGTTAAAAAAAACAGTGTGGTGGAGAAAGATAGTAGCTAGTACTTCAACCAGAAATGATAGTAGCTAGCTATAGTTGGATAAATACCTTACTGGCTGTCCTGAACGACGTGTTAAGCACCCTTTGCCAACACACAATATCTTCTGTTGGCTTTGTGAAGGATGTTGTCTTGGACAATAATCAGGAGTAACCAGAGATTCCTTTTCTACCATACTAACCTGGTTAGAACAATTATATGACTCAATTCCCAAAGACTGACGCCATGAATGATCAGAATACGTGATACATCCAGATGAATTGGGAGAACCTGAGGCAGATAATTCCTTATCAGCTGTGCGCCACCATGGTTGAGCCTTCTGAACTCCAATCCATTCAGAATCCAGTTCAGAACAAGCCTTTTTAGTTTGTCCAGGATCTAGGTCCATGTAATAATCAAGTTCCATAAATCCTCCGGAATCTGTATATATTGGTGTTCTCTGGGAACCATCGCCTACAACATTTTGGAGCATGTGCAATTGGCTATCTTTGTAATTATATGCAGAGGGGTTGTAGCCTTTGAGGTGGTGGTCTAGCTTTGCAACATCATCACAATATGTTTGAGAATAGAAATCCTCAATCAATTGGTTTCCTCCGCATAATTTCAGAACATGAACACTCTCCGCGCTCAAAACTTTGAGCTCTGACTCTAACATACTTGAAGGTTCATGTGAATTATCTTTCTCACATTCATGAAGTTCAAAATCCTTGCCGCCCAAAAAATCCTGTGACCCTCTTTTTGCATTTCTAGAATTGTGGTCGAACCTTAATTGTGCTGAAGACATTAGGAACAGAGAGAATGTTGGAGCTATCTCTTTATTTCTAGAGAAGAACAGGTTGACAGTTCACTCTCATATGACCCCCATCTTTGCAGCCTTTTACCGTATGATCCTTTCCTTGTTATCCTGAATAAGCAATAGCAGGTTATAACCATATCAGCAACAAGATGAATACAGGTTAAAACCAAGCATCGAGAAGAAATAAATTATAATACATTAAGAGGTTATGGAATATGGCTTGGTTGATTATAAACCAAAATCTAAATTAAGCATCAGAAAAAGCTTTGACTTATCAACTGAAGTTTCCGCAACTGCCCACAAATGGGGTCTAGGGAGGTTAGGATGCATTAACTTACCCCTACCTTTGTGAGGTAGAGAGATTGTTTCCGCTAGACCCTCAACTCAAGAAAAAAGTCATTGAAGCAATGTATCACAAAAATATGCCAGTAAAGTAGCAAAATACAAAGCAAATGATTGAAGCAACACATACTAATACACATTATAGAACAAGAGACTAAACGACTACTAAATAGCCCCTACCACTCCCACATAGAGTGCAATAACACTCAACTACTCACTAACCTTCTACCCTAAATCTTTTAACCTCCAAACCTTCCTATCTATCTAGAGTCATGTCCTCAGTAAGTTGGAGTTGTGTCATGTCCCCTCTAGACATGAAATCAAATTCACAGAAAACAAAAAACAGAACTAGCAAAATTTTATCCACAAAATCAAATCAAACCAGCTAAGGAAACAACATACAAACCAAGAAATGAACTCCACACAGCTTAACTCCCCAGTCAACGCATAACAAACTATGATTTGCTCCCTTGCTTTACCCCTTTAAGAGTTTTTTCTGCTAAACATGACACTTAAATCTTGAAAGGAATCATAAAACCTATAATCACCTAACTTCAAATCATCACACCTATAATCATCTTTACTTTACACCTTCCCATAATCATACATAATCACTAATAAAAAAAACCCACCTGGAAAAACCCTTTTCCATCACACACCACCAAGAAAGATTCAATTTTTTTTCAGTTCATGGAGTCTCTACATGCTAAAATCAAGAATTCCCAAACACCCTTTATCTAGTTATGCATAAATATCAGTCAGTCTTGTTCGAATCAGGAAAAAAAAACAGTTTTTAAATTCTATGAACAATCAAAAAAAGGCAAGTGGAAGATAGTATGATGGACAGTTGAAGAAATAAGTGAAGAAGAAAGTACCTGTTGGAGACAATCATGGAGATGCTTCGAAGGAAAGAAATACAGTATTCTTCATTCTAAAATATCCATTTTTATATTCAACGTCTTACAAGGGATTTTTATTAAATTCAGTGTCACTATTAACTAATTAATATTGCAGATTAGAATAATTCCACGAAAATTTGCCCATGTTTATCCATATATCCTCGTACATTTTAATTTTTTTTCTCGATCACTATATTTAAAATTTGGAATTCGAATTTTTAGGTGTTAATTAAGAAAGGAACGACCTATTCATTTACAATTATGCAATGCAATAAAATTGTAGCTCTTTGGAGTAAGTAAATTTATCATTTCATATAATTTATTTGCCGTTTCGTATTAACTTTTAAATTTAAGTATTATGTATGAAAAAGATATCTTTAACCATCCTATTATTTTCAAGGTAATAATGGCATATATAATTATTAAGTATTAGTAATTGATAAAAAGATGTTCACAATGTCAATATAAATAACACATCCTATTCTTTTAAGCAACTATATAGACAAATTTTAAAAATCCTACTTTTTTACTCTATCTTATATTTTACATTTAAGTAAAATGAAAAGATCTTTTTAAAAATATATACAAGCATAGAGTAGGGCATAATTCTAGTCTCTAGTATTAAAAATAATAAAACACCAATTCCTCCACCACCTTAGTCTCTACTAAATGCATTATTATAACCCATAGTTTCTTCAATGTCCCCATATCTAATTTTTAAATTATCATCGTGGATTATTGTGAGATATTTCAAAAAAATCTTGACCGGAAGTTCTTTTATTTTCAATTAATATGTTTTACGTCATGCGAATCTGAATTAATCAGCCCTTAGCAGATACTAAACGGACCAAAATTCCAAAAAGGAAACTTCCTAGATTAAGAGGGCCCCTGCATTGGTCCCCCTACTGCAGACTTTTCTCTGCAGTCAGCATAAGATTTTTCTACGTTCTCAATTACGCTTTTTGGTAGTAAACGACATTATACTTGAATAACTAAAAACTACTTGATTTAAAAGTTGATATAATTTAGGAGATAGATAGTATTCCAAATATAATGATAAAATCAACACAATGTTTTTAAAAAATATGATTCACTATATTTCTGTGACAATCGATTTACACAGATAATTCAGTTCCAAAATAAGAATAGCTCAAATACAAGAACTGCAATGAATTTCAAGAATCTGGACAATGGGTAGTGCAAAATGTATGTCTTTGCCACTAGAAATAATTAGTAAGTGTAGGTTAAATGATGTCTTTTTGCTATTCTTACAACATTCACATTGATAGATATAGCATATGCTTCTTCAACCTTCAGATTAGCCAGTTATGTTGCAGGCTTGCAGCTGGAGCTTCTCTACAGAGCACCATCTGAATTTCCACTCCAAGTCCAAAAGAGCATGTGCTTCTTCAACCTTCAGATTGACTAATTACCTTGCAGCTATAATTTGAAGATTCTGTATGCACCACCGATGTTATTTCAACTAAGTACATCAATGTCACTATCTCATGTAGAGGGAGTCGAAAGGAGTCAGCAGTGACATTTTTCATTGCCATAAGATGATCAGGCTTGCTATCATTTTCCAGTGTTCAACTACATTGTACATTGTAGTCAAATCAGATAGTAGTTGGAAAGTGGACACTGTCCCATTTGGGTCGACATGTCCTATCCATTTCCACACCTATAAGAAGCAAAGCAGTAGCAGGATTAGTAGATGGTAAGCAAGGCTCTTTTAACACTTTCAGACAATGCATCAAGAACCTATATGATACCTTTTGGTAGTATTCATTTGGCGTTACTCTTGGATAGATACAGCTAAAAAGAATCTTTCATATGCCTGTAAATTTGTTAGTTTTGGCTGCCTTCCTTGTCCACCATGGCAGGAAGAAACCCAATCTTGTGCTATAGTCCAGTGTCTCTTTTCCTTTTGTGGCATGCAAACTCCCAATAGAAGGACATGTTTATCTTGCAACCACAATGATCCGACACTGTTAATAGCATGAAAGCAATTACACGTCAAACATGCGGCCTTGTAGGATCTTTAATATTGAACCATTTGCTTATATTTAGTTCGGAGCTTTGATAATCTTCTTTCCAGAGGGAGTCCCTCATGTTTCCTCCCCATCTTCTCCAAGTAATATACAACTTTTTTAAGTGTTTCCATGACTTCCTCACTGTCAGTACCAAAAGCTTTCTCTTGAATTTTCAGTACCCTCTTGAGCAACTCCAGCAATTCACCATCATCCTTTCCCAGCTGGGTCTGAATGGAGACCAAACAGTCAAGAGCCTCCCCTGCATACATAAACTCTTTAGCCAAAAGGGGAGAAATGAAAGAAAAGAACCTGAAAACACTAAACCAGCTACTTTTTTTTGGATAAAGATAAAGAGGGTAAACAAACAGTACATGAATGGTGAAACAGCTTTCAAACATATTGATGGCAAACATTTTTCACTAACAGATCAAAACATACTGCTTAGCAGTTAGCATAAAGCAATAGGGAAAAGGACAAGCTCACCAACTGGTAGAGAATCTTCTCCAAATGCCCTCTCCCGGATTCGCAGAACCTCTAATGCGTGTTTTTCGGCCTCCTCATTACGGTTTAGATTGTAGAGAGTAACTGCAAGATGCAGCATTGGGAAAGTAATGGATTGATCATCAGGTGAAACATTCTTAAACATAATCTGCAAACTCATCCTTAGCAAGCGCTCAGCTTCTGCAAAAAGTTTGGACTGTGAATAAGAAGTGGCTAGATTCACTAGATGAGAGACTGAACTGGGATGCCCTTCACCCTTGAACTTCTCAGTTATCAACAAGCACTCCTCCAGTAGCATACGGCCTTCTTCACCTCTGAAAGATAAATGAGTGTTAAAGCAGTACTCAAAAGAACAAAGCCCTACAAAGAAGCTTAAGGTTTGCACAATTCTTAAGAACAATTTGCCCCAATTTTATATTATTCTATAAAAACTGAAATGTGAGTATTGAAAACCTTTTCAGAATCGGTTGTAATGTATCAAAATATAACGGAATTCTTCTTTTAAAAAGGGTTCGGAAAAAGTAATTTACCATAAGTAATATTCTACTTGATTAATCAAAGGGAAGAAAATCATGTAAAGGACCTAAAAACCCTCTTACACTAAAAGCCCCACACACACTCGGCCAAACCCTTAATTTATTTCATATAAGTTAAGTTGTGAAAAGTTCTATCTATTTTTATTTCCATGCTTCATATCTTCTTAATGGAAGTAGCTAACAATTCTCGAGCGCATTAATTTAGTCTAACTTAAGTCATAAGGGCAAGTAACTTAATGAAAAAAAGTCGAAAAATGGAAAGTAAAGGATAAAAAAGTTTATCTGATTTTAGTTTTCAAGGAAATGTTGCTGAGTAGTAAATAGGAAACAACTTTACTAAATGCAACAAAAAGGGATTTAAAAAAAAATATAGATTGTAAGTTAGAATTTATTTTAAGAAGGCCAAAATTTGTAACTCGTTAAAGTTTTAGAATACATTGACGTGATCAAAAGTACTTATCAAACAATTTAGACATGGGGGTGATCCCATAATTTTAATAATCACAGGAAATTATGTTATGTAACTAACCCTATGCTTAATTAAAACATGATCCTCACCTTCCAACTGCATGAAGTAATTCAGCCAAGTCTACTCTCATCTTCTCCATTATGTGATCATCTATGGCTATATAATCAGAAACCTTCAGCCTGCGAAGAGCCTCTTTATACAGATCAATGGCTTCATTCACATCTCCTGTAAAGCACGCACATATGAAAACAGTACCCTTTATTGGAGCAATTGTCAAAACAGGAATAATTTAATGGACACAGAGCATAGCATCACAATTTGTAATCCTCCTACTTTTTGGAATGAAAACCAGTTCATTATAATCTAGCACTTGCAGGAAGCTGAAAGTTACAACTCACAAGCAACTGGAATCTTTGGAACACAAGAATGTCAAGTTCACCATTAGTTATTCAAATTTACTTAGCTGTTCAAGCATTAGTCCTATCTTGTGCTGCTTTTGGGCAGGTTACTTCACTATCGACCTTTTCGTTAATTGCTTCATTACTTGAGTAATGGCAACCATAGACAAGGAGAAGATTATGTGACACCAGGAACAACAAAGTAAGAAAAAATTGATCCGCCACAAGTAGGAAAATCATTATATTCACCTTTTGCACATTTCACACGTGCAAGATAACTCATAGACAGTCCAACTCTGCCATCCTTTTCTCCATATAACTTCATGTACGTGGTCAAAATTCTATATCGTATGAAAAGAAAAGGGAAAAAGAAGTTAGTATTGGTGACTACAGACACAAAGTGGTCACGAAGCAAGATACATGTAAGAACAGTGATCACCTATTAAAAGCATTTTCTGCATCAGTCACTCTCCTTTCCTTCAGAAGAAGATTGCCCATGCCAAATAAAGGCACTACCAGTTCCTCACATTCTTCACCCCTGCTAGATTCAATAATTTTAACTACGCGATGATATGTTTCTATTGCTTTTTTGGTCTTTCCAGTAGAACCCAAAACTTTTGCCATCCCTAACAATGGAGTGACGATAAAAGAACTGGTATTTCCTGTAATGTAAAATAAAAGTGTCACCAAACTGCTTTCAGCCATATAGAAAAAGAAGCAGTGGCTTGATAACAGTTAAGAAAGTTGCAAATTTACAGATTTTACCAAACAACCGAATCATTTATTTCTAAAAAGTTATGGAAAGCCAAATCCAATCCCATAGTAAATGAGATAGAATTCTATTTTAAGAAAATGAGCAGCACCACCATCTCACACAAATATAGCCAGACGTAAATAAGCAACAACTATAAAGTGAAAAAAGAATCTGACTTACCATATAGTCTCTCAACAACTTTGACAGCTCTTCCATACACACAAATGGACATCTCAAAATTTTCTAACTTTTCATACATATTACCCATATGTGTGAGTATCGAGTCCAGAAGAGGCTCCTCATCTTTCAAGTCATCAACAACCTCGCTCAACTGTCAGTACATCATGCCGCCCACCCAACATACAGAAAAGGGTGACTAAAATGAGGACAAGTATGAACTCTAAAACAATAAAGTTATATTATTGCTTGAAAAGGGAAAGTTCTTATGTCAATAAATGATTTGTTCTTCACGGAGAAAATTGGAGTTGGAACTTCAAAAGAAAATGTTTGAAATCATGTCTCCGTGCACTGGTTCTCCTAATTAATTTTTGCAGCTTATGTCTGTGCCTTTGAAAGGTCACTTGATCCTTTCATGGATTTATGATACAGAAAGACTAGAATCAGGAATTAGCATATATGACAAGGGAAGAAATTACCACATCCAACAGGGGTTTGACAGTCCTTATGTCTCCAAGGGCCATGTACCCTAAGGCTATTACATCAAGAATAGCTGCTTCTTCTATACCCTTGTGGCCTGCATCAATCTGTTCTTTGACAGCTTCAAAATTTGCTAGAAGCAGATCTCTGGCCTCATTTTCCTTCCCTATTCTTATCATGGCATGGACTTCATTAAATAAGTCCCTCAGCTGCTCCTCAAGAATATTGAGGCTGCTAGGCATGTTGTCCTTTAAATCTGTATACCTGCTGAAAAGACATGCTGACATTGTAGTTCTCAATGGATATACTACACAAGTCTCCTAAATCTATACACTCTTAAACTATTGAAATGTTTAGAATTCATCGCAAATTTTTTGAAGGAGATAGTCTATGTGAAAGGACGGCTAATATATTCCACCAACTAATGGGTTTAGCCAATAGCATCAAACTCAGATAACGCTGGTAGATTATCCTCCATCTGAAGGAAATCACTACACCTCTTCACAAGTGACTTTTTGCATAAACAATGATGGAGCTAAGTTGATGTCAAATAGGTGCTTAAAGGGGATATACCAATCGGATCTTCCACAATGAGTTAAGCACCAAAATAACAGATGTTTCATTACTTAACAAAATATAACAGCTTATAAAATGTTTCAGCTTTCAGATCTTTTGGTTATCTGTCCCAGACTTTGTATTATCTACTTTCTCACAATTAATGTTTACCATGAGTCAAATAGAATAAATAATATTATCCTCTTGAATTCTAGATTGAAGAGAAGATTATAGAAACAGTTGTATGCCCTATTGATTAAATCGTCAACCATTATACGGAACTGGATTGTAATCTTAACTCAAAGTAGTATACTTAGTAGTTAGTACAACTAGAGTAATAATAGGCATTTCTGGAATTTGCATCACCCTAAAATGTCATGAGTCAGAAGTAATGAGGTGCTTTCCTGAGGTATGCCCAACGCCACACACCCCAAGCTTGCCTAATAGTTTTGTGTCAATGGAGTGCAAAAAACCGCGATCAACTGTATTCACCCTAAAAATTCCTTAAGTAGTATTGACCCTTAACTTCTCAAAAGCCCTTGCAGTGATTCTAAATACTAAGATTTAGAAGATGTGAAACTCAATGGAAGTCATAATATTGACATATCCTCCGCTTGAGAATAATATGAGGTGAGTTTTGTTCGAGCCTTTCATAAAAAAATAAAAAAATCTGGCTTCATGTCTTCACTCCCACTCAATCTTCAAGTCTTTAGTTCTCTGTCTTTCCTCATCAAATCTCTTCTTTTTTTCTATTCTATTCCATCTAATAAAATTAAATAGCAATTTCTTTATAAGGTAAAGTTCTAACAACAATTAAAAGTTGCCCTATGTACATTAATGGGTGATGAGACCGATATTTTTAGTTTTTTTTTTTTTTTCATAAACCATCTGTTAGTAACAACCTAAATACAATTCTGTCAAAATGCTACTAATTCCATTGATGGATTACAGTTATTAAAAACTATTTCTAATTGTATTCACTTATGTAAAAGCACAAAACTAGCTTCCTATTGAGAGCCTAGGGAATGATGACATGATTTTTGTTAATTCTATCATGCTAGGGTACTCAACAATCATTTCTTCTATCACAAGGAAACCAATAAAACTATCAAAATGTGAATAAATCTGCATTTAAAAAAAGCAAAGCCCATACCTTTGAGACTCGATACTTGAATTAACTCCTTTGTTTTCGTACAATTTGGATGAGGTAGCCGAGACAACACAGCACCTCGTGCTAAGACGGGAACACAACCCACTAGTGGGAAAGCAAAGCTTAAAATTGCAACTTTTAGAGGGACGGTGATAAAAGGAGACGGACAATATGCCTAAATTGGTGTTTGAACCTATAAGATTCATCCTGAAATATGCAACCCACAAAACAAAAATACTCATTAATTTACTAGTGGAATTCAAAAGCTGGCCCGAACACCACGCTCGTAAAAAAAATACTATTGAAGTGCGAAATGGAATGGACGGAACGGGTTAGGTTACCTGCCGGAGTTGGTGAGTGGCAAAGGAGTTGAACGGAGCAGAGAAGTAGACATTTGCAGTTTGCAGCAGCAGAGACACAGGAGAAAATGAGGGAGGCAGAGAGATTATCCACAAATATGCAATTCTATTTGGGTTTTCTAATTAAATTAACCCCAGAATTTCATAATTAGCAATTTTGCATTATTAATCACCCTTATTGCTACAAAACAGCAATGCTAATTTTGTAAAACATATCAAATCTAGATAATACTCTAGACTATAGTGGTTAGGTTATTTGTAGTATGTAAAATTTACTAGTAAAATTAAATATTTTTATCATTTTTCTTATTATTCATTCTCACGAATTCTAAGTAGTTTGTTCATAATAACACAAAACAAATTAATTTTATTTGAAACTTTTTATGTTAGAATCATGTTTGATCCTAATTTTTATAGTAAATATTTAAAATTTAAATGTACTTTTTTATATTAAAAAACATTAAATACAATTTGAAGGGGGAAAATTTATTTTTAAAAAAATTAGAATAAATTTGAAAAAGAAAAACTAAAAAAAAAATGACAGTGAAAATTAGAGTTTTAGGCTAAAATCATCCCTCAAATATAACTTAAACTGAGTGTACATCCTTATAATATAATTTTGAACAAAAAACATCCTTCAATTATCCCAAAACTTACTTTCTGTTAACTACTGTTCAAAAACTAACATAAACAAATACATGTGCCAAGCACATAACTTCCCCCAAATCCCCATATATTGTACGATATTTTTATTGATATTTATATTGTTTTACCGGTCTCTTCATATTGTGTTTCTTATGTTTTGACAAAAAGTGTGTTGTTTACTAGTGGTTTACCAATTTTTCTATTGTACTGCAATTTGTTTTTACTGTTTTATTCTAGTTTGGTGTTGTTTTGTTGATTTTCTTGTGGTTTATTTACTGGTTTATCAAAAAAAAATTATTGTTTTTTCTATTGTGTTGTTTTTTTGCTAGTTTGGTATTATTTTGCTGATTAATTTTTTGGCTGCTTTTGTCCTGATTTATCAGTTTTTAAATCGTTTTTTCCATTTTTTTAGTTGCCTTGCTGTTTTCTTGTGTGTATTCTTTTTGTGCAAGTTTTGGTCCTATTTTTCAGATGAAATATTAGCTTTTTTGCTGGTTTTAAGTGTTAAAATGCTCAAGGTGGAAAAAGAGAAAAATAAATGTTTTTAGGCAACTCAGAGTACTTTCATTGCGCTTGACAAACATACAAGATACATTTAATACGAAAAATTCATGGCGAGATTAATACAACATAAAACGACTACTTTTACTACAATTTCAAATTATCATCTTCTCTCTTTTCAAGATGAGACCAATCCTCCCTCTTGTAGGCTTACTTTTTTTCCAGACGCAATGTAGTTCTATGGGCGTTGTTTATCATTACCAACTCTCAGGGGTACCAATCCTCTTTGCTCGCATAAGAGAATGAATTTGTATGACTCCAAGGCATTAATTCTAAGAGTTGGTAATATGCCCTCCCTGAAAGTGGGTTGTGTCATTTTCTTGGTGTAGAAAAGCATGGAGTTAATTTTGTGTAACTAGGATTAATAGTAAAATTGTAAATGTCAATAATGTCGCACATGAAAGTGTTTATTCTATTGATTTCATCTAGTTTCTTTGGTACTCCTGCATAATACAATACCTAGGAACAAAAATTCTGAATTTTCTTTATCATTGCATTGAAGTCTCTATGGGTGACACTTTTAATTATAAGCACCCCATCGACTGTTGAGAAATCATGTTTCTAGAGGCACCTCGCACAACTAAGAAAAAATCTCTCTTCAGTCAAACATGCTTGGTGTATTTCTTATTAATATGAGCCTTATTGTCTCATATAAATGCCTCTTGATTGCTAATTTCTTCTTCAAATTGCGTCTCAAGAATTTACAACATCTTTTAAATTATCGAGTGCTATTAGCTTCTTCCGAAAATATGAGCAGTTAATTCCAACCCTCGGTTAGGGACACATTGTCTAAGGATAGACTGAAAGTGGGACAATTGGAGCTGATTAATTTTTTGCACCAAAGCATGAAAGAAAGTCTCAACTATGATGTATGCTATTATTTATGAAGATGAAGAAATCAATCTATAGCATATGGAGATTTGGGGGGAGTCATGTTTTTATTTCTGTTAGTTTCTTAATAGTAGTTAACAAAAAGGATGTTTAGTCATGTTTTGGGATAGTTGAAGGATGTTTTTTGTTCACAATTTTACTATAAGGATGTACTCTAAGTTTGAGTTATACTTGAGGAATGATTTTAGCCTAAAACTCGTGAATACTGAGTTTTAGGCTTTTTCCAGATTTCCAATACAATTTCAAATTATTTTCAAATAAAATCGGGAAAAAAAAACTGACCAAATGGATTTATTTTATTTTATTTTGGTTAAAAGAGGAGATATTATATCATAATATTATGTATCCAATACAAACAGAGGTGGCTGCATGATGGCTAGCGCACGAGTTATCAGGCCATATAACTTGGTTACAATTCAAATTACATTGAGGCTTATAGGCTTGTGGAAGAGGACTTTTTACTTTTTCTGCTTTTAGTATCTTCCAAACAAATCACGGTGGAACTCTCCATTCCTCAAAAAGCTGATCCAATTTCATCTTCTGGCCTTCTTTGGCTAGCTACTTTATTCTTTCCTCGAGGCTCAGGCCTGATTGGGGGTTCCCCATCCTATGAATGGATTTATTGTTATTACCTCCCTACACTCACTTCATTGTTATCGTCGATTCATCAAAATAAAATTGAATTATTGACTTAACAGTATATGTCATTTGGAAATCACTATATATATATATATATATATATATATATAATGATGATACAATAGTCATATAATAATTTCATCACTAAATCATCATGGTTATTATCGATTTCAAATCTAGGCTATGCTAACTTTAAATATTAAGCCAGAAAGTAGACTGTCAAGTCTAATTTCAAACGTAAGGTGAAGTTCAAAACAAACATTTATGGATATGCATGTTTTTAAATTCGTGATTTTCTACTTTAATCAAATAAAATTTTCGCAATGAGTATATGTCTTATTTCTTGCCTCATCTTTACTTAATACAGTAGGTTCGTTCAAAAAATCCCAACGCCATTGGGACATATCTTCCACGAACGGTTAACTATTAAGGATCACAGTTTATGCATAACTGTTGGTCTACACAAATAAAGAAGCATAATAAACACTTCGTAACTCCTACAAAATATTAATTGACACTACCGTTCAGCTTATAATATTTATTAAATATATAAAATAAATTGGTACTACTTCTTTGCATTGTGAAGCATGTCAAAATTTGCATCACACTAAGTTCCCACTATGTTCATATTCGAGGAAGAGGAAGAGTTGAACCACAAGGAGTCTTATGTTTCCACAGCTCAAATGCAACTTTACCAGTTATATCAAAGTTTGCTTCATCTCATATAAAATCTGTCCAGTTCACTTGGCTTACGCAGCCAATACTAGACGAAAATATTCGGTATGACAGAAGTCACGGAAAACATGTTGTTTTGATGAAAGATGACTCGCATCAAATACCAAACACATCTTTCTCTGGTGCTAGTAAGTTACATGTACCACACATGCCATCAACTCAAACATGACATGTTATTTAACACACTGAAAACGAAGGCATTCTTCGTCCATACAGAGACTGGCATAGTAGCATACTGTAAAGATGCAGAATTTCTTAGGTGGGGGGCAAAAGAGGGTTCCGTTAGGGAGGAGGCAGAGGTTGGTTATCAAAGCTGACCAAAACAGCCACTCCCTACAGAACAAGTTTTGCAAGTTTGAAGCTCATAAATTATGTCAACGTAAAGGATGTTTTTTACTCCCCACCTCCTGCACGTCATAAAGAGAAAAGAGGAACAAAAAGAAAAGGCATTCCCTTTTTGTGAAAAAATAAGCACCAGCCTGAGTTTGCACAAAGGCTTAACTACATACAGTGCAGGACTGTTGATAGTACATTCCAAATACAACACAACAATTTGAGGGATTAAGCATACACATAACAATATGCACCGAGTTTATATTGTACATTCTTACTTGTCAGTGCCTCACGATGGCCTAGGATACCCTACAATAGCGGACAATTTCAGGGAAGTCGGCCTACAAAGGAAAAATTGCAAGGCACCTCCAGGCTAGGAGCATTACTTGCCACACAAACTTGTCACAGCGTTTCAGGGGCCATCTTCTAGGGCTGAATAATGAAGCAAAGAATTCGATTATTTGTACTAGCACACTCTATTTTGTTCTCTTAACTCCCAATTTCAGGGTCGACCTGAACAGAGAATAAAGATACTTACAACAACAGCAACATACAGAGAATAAAGATACTTACTGCTTAAAATAAATCCTTGAAGCAGGCTTTGAGCTCTCTCTGCTTGCTCCGGAGTGCCTGATATTTGTATGATCTTATCTGTTACCTCGGGCCTATCCTCAATCAATTTAACATTTGCTCCTGACAACTGTCAGCAATAAAAATAATATAACTGTGATACTTGCATTTAGCCAAATGTGATTCTGAAATGAAGTGGGTGCGTTGAAGAAGCCAAAACTGACCTCACTAATCTGAGCAAGCTTATTTCTTGATTTTGTTATCAGTTTGGGTGCTGCATGTGGAGGTATGACAACTTCCAATATACTTCTAGTGACCAATGTTACATGCATTCTGCAAAATGAGAAAGTTAGGTTCAAAGACAGCAAACTAACATGGTTTAAGATAAAATAGAAAACTGTTACCTATTCAATCCGCTCGGAATATCTTCACGACGCTCACTTTCATTTTGCTTGGCTATTTCACTGGCAGATGCCCCAGTTTCCTACAAAATAAACACCTTTTTAGGAAATATAGCAGGGGTTTATTAATCCAGGCTATCCTGCTAACTTGAAATTTCTCTGAGACAACTATGACTATTTGGTATGCTAACTTTCCAGCTCATTAGGATGTCACATTTAAGGTTGGGGATTAGAAAATTTAAGCTCATCCGGAAACAGGCAAGAAAAGAAATTAACTCACTTTTACTGGCTGTGCGATTGGTTTGGCTGGTGTATTTTGATAGATTGAAGTTGGAACATCATTAA